CGTTCAATAGACAAGCTTAACACTACACAAGGGTGAAATTCCTTGCGAGGAAAGTCACGTGAATCACAGCAGTAAAGTGAAGGCTCACACCATCCTGACAACAGATTCCCCGGAGGAGATGTAAAACAAAGGGAATCCAGTTGGGGCTCTAAAATAGCCAAAGAAAAGAATATTCTAGTGTAAAGCTGACAGGGATGGTTTCCATTATTATCTCTCCTGCCTTGTTTGGGAGAAAAGAAAGTGATAAAGCTGTTGCATGATCTCATAGGGATCATAACTGACTGTTGCAAGTTAAAGTGGCAGCTGAGACACTTTGATGTCAACACCAGGACAGATAAGAATGAGGGAATAACTGTCAGATGGCCTTTCCCATTCTCTTTAGCTGTGCATCTTGCCTGTGATCTGGAACTGAATCTGTAACAAATTAGGATGATGCACAGTTCTTGTAAGGTGACATGAACCAACACAACATTATACAAATGATAGTTGTTATTATTATTATTATATAGTATATTGCACTTTTGGCATTTTAACAAGTTTCAGTGAAAATGAGGATATCTTTCTTTTTGCTAAAAATAATGTAAAATCTGTTCCTTTATTTAAAAATAAAGAATAATCCAGAGGTTTGAACACATTTGGCAGAAATTATAAATTACCGATATAATAAAACTACGTTAAGTTTATGTTCTGAGGCGAAAAACATGCCCTTCTGAAATATTCCTGAAATACTAATGCAGATAGGGAAATGTACTGGCAGCAAGGGAGAAGCACTAAAAATATTTTAAGCTTAAGATTTTCTTTGAAACTTTTGTCATTGAAAATTATAATTATAATGCCTACGCTCTGTTAGATTTCTACAACCAAATTCCCCTGCTCTGGAAATCTGCAATGTTCTGGATTCCTCCTGAACACATAAATCACCTGCACTCCTGATTACAAAATCTCTACCTTTTTTTTTTTTCCAGCTGAAGTCTATAATGAAGTCTGCAAAAGATGTATCTGAGCAAAGAGACCGGACTCAAATATATGGATTTTTTTACAAGGCAAGGAACACTGTGAGTTGAGAACTGTACAAAGTGAAGCACTGCTATCTGGTGGCCAAAAGTCACTTCTGATATTTTTCTGTTAGAAAAGACGATATACTCCCTCAATCAATCAGCTTTTGATAGCAGTGTGCTCTTAGTTTTCATCATGCTGAGATATAGTTTAGCAAAGAGAAGGGAGAAAATTATCTCGATCTTTTGAGTTAAATGTAATTCTGTATATTCCACCAGTGACTTTTAAGTTAATTGAACTTTGCAATAGGCACAGCTTTCAATTCAGTGAACAGAAGCAAAACTTGTGCTGTTTTGTGTAATGCATTAGCAAACAAGATTAGCTAAAATGACTGGCAGAAAAAAAAATTGTCTGTAAAAGGAGGCAGAAAAATAGTCTCAGAGACATATAAGTAATGTATTTAAATACATTGCATTAAAATAAGAAGCTTTAGCAAAATAAGTTCATTATGTGGAATTAATGAGAAATAATTTTGACTTAACCATTAATTTACTCTTACCTTTTAGATGCCAATCTTGATCCATCTAAAATATTTTAGGACCATCAATTGCCAACAAGAATCACTAGATCCCGTGCTCCCCAACCAGCTTTTCGCTATCCTTGGTTGGGCATAGACTAGAACTTACTACTCATATATTAGAACTTACTATACTCTGTGGCTCATCTCAGTGTCTTCATCCATTTCAAGCTCATGCTACTGCAGCTCTCAGTACTCACCTGAGTCATATTATAAGTTATTATATCCATCCGTGAACATAAAAATTTATATATTAGAACCTGGTCTTTTTTTTCAAAGGACAGATTTGAAGAGAGAAATCCAGCTTTGCAGTATGCATCAACTAGCCCATATATGCTGATCTAAGCTAGCATCATCTGGTGATATGTTTCCTTGATGTCCATTTTTGGCATATTGATTTTGCCTTGAGAAAAAGGCCAGTATTTTCTAATATATAGGAACACTACCTTTTCATTAGTTAGGCTGGCCCTTCTCTTGCTTGTTTAGTGGAAAGGACCTATCTTGCAGCAGCTCCAGTCATATAATCAAAATTTGCCAGCTATTTTGAAGCATCCTTCCTTACAGGTGCACATTCACTGTCATAGCAGAACAAGACTGAAATACTGATGGGAGTTGGCTGGTTGAAACTGATTTTAGACAACTGTACGATTCAAATTACGTTAGTAGAACTTTTAATGGAAGGCATGATCGGTGGTACTGTAAATCTCCACTTGGTAATAAATGTTGATTGGATTCCGCTATGCGTGTCTTCCAACATGGGCCTTGCTGCCATGATGCAGAGCCTCATTATACCAGGATCCCAGCAGTGCCACTGTTTCCCTTCTGAGTCTGAGACCAAAAGCATTGGGCTTCTTAGCAGTATACAGTTAGGGAAGTAAACAAAGCCATGATTTCCAGCCATGGAATCATAAGTCTGGAAGTTTGAGCAGAAGTGAAATTGTGATTTCAGAAACAGTCTCAAGAAGAAACATGTAAGAGTTGCTGCCTTAATGCCTATGAATCCTTTGACTTCTGGGTAGACTTCAAGGGATGGTGTCAGCCTACACAACTAGGTGTGGCTTCAGATCTGCTTGAAAGCACACCTTTCTCCCTAAGTCAACAAACTCTTAGGTGACATCAATACAAACAAATTAAATGGCAGAAGAGCCTGTTCTTTGGCCTTGAGGCCAACTGACATGTCTAGGCCTGTCAATACTATTAAATTCCCCCAGCCTCCAGAAAATGGAGGCTGAATCTAAACTGCCTGTGGTAGGTAGTTGTCCCTGGCCTGGGCCAACCCCTGAATCATGGTCAGGAAGTGTTTGGGATCATGCTACTTGGAATAGGACAAAACCAAGACAGGGCTTTCCTTCACTCATGAGGCATAATGTCAGATAACAGGTCTATAGACACGGAGAAGTAAAACTGATCAAAGGTCATTTATGCATCTTCTGATTTGAGGCAAGTTTAAATACAACTCTCAGGAAAAAATCAGTGAACAGTATTATTCCACGGCCCACAGGACTCCTGTTACTTTGCCAAACTATCTTTGCAGAATATTTCTTTTAACACAAAGTCTTCTTTGCTGCAAATTTATAGTAATGATTTATCGCATTGCACATTAAGTACACAGATAATAATATGACCAGATTTGTAACAAAGTGTTTACTGGAACGTATCAAGCACTTTACATTGAGAGGAGAAAGGAAGGGTTGCATGACAGCAGCCATCTACATCTAAGTGAGTCTCCCTGGAAATCCTTGATAGATGATGAAGGGAAACAAGTGCTTCTATGATGTAATTCATCTCATTTCAACACAGACATCTGAAACAGATTAATCGCATCCGAAGGATGACGACATCTCTTCACTGACTACCACAAGAGTGTTGATGATGAGCTCAGACATTTGGCACTATATTTTCCTGTATTTTGAGGAACAGATTCAGTTCCTTCAACCTTTCTCCCCAGGATTTCTATGCATTTTTGTCATTTTCCTTTGTTCTCTCAAATCTGTCTTCATTAGACCATGTTTCCCAAAGCAGCACACTCTGCTTAAGGTGAGAGTTCAGCATCTGACAACTCTGCTGATGCAGCTTAGAAATAAATTTGTCTTTTTTTTTTTTCTTCATCAGCTTGATAATGTTTGTGGTCTGATGCAATTTTGAGATTATCTCACTCCAGGTCTTGAGCAATAGTGCAATGTTAGCACTTTTCCCATCTCCTTGAATTTTTATTCTATCATAAGACTTACTAGTAATTGCAAGCAGTGCAACCAAGTTCTTCTCAGCATTAGCTTGAGCACTAGCTCTGTAAGCCTATGATTTCTCCCACTGGATATGATTTTCTGCATTACCTCTCTTACCAATGGATAAAAAGTTCATGGCTAGGCTTTGCGAACGAAGATCTGGGAAGGCTCTATCCGCATTTGCTACAGGCACGCTGGTGGCTTATGAGGCCAATACGTGACAGACATATCCGATTGCAAAAGGCACAGCAGAAAGATTCCTTAGATGGTATATTCTGCAATATACGGTTCTTTCTGCGTTGCCTTTTTTCCTCAAGAGTGATCCTGCGAGTGTTCTCAAAGGAGACAGCTGCGTTGTAGATGGTGTGTCTCCAGGCCTCCCGATTTGAGGCCAGAGTAGACCAGTGATGAAGATCAATATGGCCAAGGCTGAGATGTTGTTTCAGGAAGTCCTTGTATCTTTTCTTTGGGGCTCCTCTCATGCGGCAGCCAGTGGCAAGTTCACCGTAAAGCAAGATCTTAGGGAGGCGGTGGTCCTTCATCCTGGAGACGTGCCCTGATAAAAAGTTAGTTATCCTCATATTATACTGCTACTTCATTGTGCTTCTTTCCCAACAAAAACATACACTGAAAATCTCTGCATACTTATTAGTCATTTAAACCACCACCATTAGTTTATGACTTGATGGGATTTCTTCTACTCTTCACACTTTTCAAGACCTATGTTTTCAGCCCTGCAGATGAAGCATTTTTTTTTCTGGTAGCAATGGAAGCCTTTATCTTCTTTTGAGAAGTGTTGAACATCTGTACCTTGCAATTTGAATCTAGTATTCTTCTGGCTCCTTTTTTTCTTTGTTATTGTTTGCTTGGTTTTGGGTTTTGTGTTTTTGTTTGTTTGTTTGTGGCTTTGTTGTTGTTTGTATTTATTTATTTATTTTTCTTTATTTGCTGCCTTCTCTTTGCCACTTGACAGGGCAGATTTTTACACACAGTTATCAAAAAATAGTGTATATGAAAAGAGAAGCTACCTTACAGAGGACTCAGTTTCAGAATTCAGTCCTAGTCATGACTGCTGGATAGCATCCTGAAAGGCTTATTCTTCTGTAACATTTTCTAGGTAATTTCTAGTTTGAGTATGGGACAGGCAGAGATAACAAAATAATGAGAATGAACCATCAAGAAATCTGATAAACAGGAAGATATTAAGTTGGAACTGTTTATTTTATAAGCCAAAATAACAGCAAATGTTATTAAAATGTATATAAATGGCCAAATTCTAGAAGGTAGATCAGCTCTTCTTCCCATTTCACAATAGAAAAAGGGAGTAGTCTAGGATTTGAAAAGATGAACTAATGGAAGCATGTATCGTGTGTCACTAAGAGTGTCCAGACTTCATCTATCTTTTAGATGGTGAACACTGTATCACAGGGTATCCTTAGGAGAGGTGTACAGAAGGGGTGGTCACACAGTGATGAGAACACGCAGAGTTTAGACAGCTGGTGTTGCAAGGACACACTTCCATAGGAGACAGATCATCCCAGATCTTCCACTGTGCAATTTACACATCTTTTACACCTCTGGAGCTGGACACCATGAAAGGATGAGACAGCCTTGACACCAAGTAATATGATTATTCTGACACTCTATCCCTCCCTATTGTACCTTCATTTACATTATTTCTTTACATATATATATATATATCAAAGGCGTATTGACACTGACAAATCATTTTTTCTTTCCTAATGCAATAATGTTTATAAATGCTAATCAAGACAACTTTGTTCCTTAGTCACAATGGAAACTGAAGTACTTTGCACAGCCTTTTTCCTGTGTATATACTGAACTATTTACTGTCAACTAGAGAAGAGAACATTATTTCCTAAATACTAAAGTCATTAATCTGAGGAGAATACAGAGGAAACACAGAAATAAACAAATAATTCAAACTAATTAACATTTGCTCATGGACTATGTTGTTTTATGGCTAATAAATAAGGTTCAAAGAATGACTGCTTAATTGATTGCTTTTCCTTTTTATTTGCCACCCGCTGTTAGTGGTAACTAGATAAATCCTAGAGCAGCAACCAACACCAGCAGGACCTGAGCACATTCACTAGAAAATGAATGAAAGTCTCTAAGCTCTTTTTAGGCAACAGTATATTAACTTTTCCTATAAAAGAAAATCATGTTTTAGAGAAGTGGCAAACAAGAAAGTGAGGGGGAAACAACCAAACAAATCTCATTGAAAACCTCTCACCAAATTGGGAAAATTAAGAATTAGCAGTGGAACTGCAGAGCCTTTAATTTTAGTGTAGCTGGATTTAATACCAGACTGACTGAAGGAAGTTACTCACTGTTTTCCTCTCATTTGCTTAACCAGTGATGTAACACCAGTTTTCAACAGCAAAGCAGCTATGTATTTCTGGTTTAGGTGGGTCACCCTGCTCTGACTGATTAGGGTGGCCTCTGTTGCTTCTGCAGTGCTGATTAGAGCAGTCTGCACTTCCCACCTCCATATTCTTTCTTCTTATGACTCAATGTGGTCTTCTACTGTAAAAGAGAGCAGGCAGGCAGACAAAAGCCAAATTAGTCAGGTAGTGAAAAGGATAGGAATTAAAAAAAGAGAATACTACTTTAGCAAGTGCCTATATCTCCATCACTTAAAATATACCAAACAATACCTGAAACTCATCTATCTTACCTTACTCCATTAATTATCCATCTTTAATGTCTAAGATGTGTTTTCAAGGAATAAGTAAGCTGCAGTCAAAGGTGCTTTGTGAAATCTTGCTTGCTTCTGGAAAGGGATTCTTTGTGCAGGATGCCAATGCAGCTGCAAGAGAAAATGGACAGAAGTTCATAACGCGGTTGTTATTGCAAGAGGTGAAACGGCAACACAAACACTTGGTAAGTAGAGAGAAACAGAGCCAAGTTTCAGTGTATATAGTGGCTGGATGCATTAAAGGTATCCTAAAGAGAATAAGCACGCTGTTTTGTAGTAAAAACTGGCACAGTAGACTATATGGGCAAATGGGTGAGAATGGGTAGTTTAGAGCAGAGTGTCAACTGAAAAGACAGCACTGGAAGGGCTAGAAAGGGATCTTCTTCTGCATGAAAGATTATTTTTCAGAGAGGAGCTTTAGAGAAAGAGATGGTAAGATTATCAAGTCACAGACCTGATGCAAGTAACCAGTTAGAGGAATTGTTTCCAGACTATGGACTAAGAAAAGAGAACATCTAAGCAGTTACAATAGTTATAACACTGGAGGAGATAAATTAGCAGTCATTATTCAAATGAATATGGACAAACTTAAAGGTGATGCTCACATGGGGACACTGTGTTTTCCCAGGCAGCATAAATATGCATAAAACACTGTCCAGTTACCTTCTCAGTACACCTTGAAATAAACAGTGCAACTTAAAAGGCATGTAGTCTCAACAATGCAATGCTGAAGCTAAATCTGCAGTGACAAGTAATCTGGCGAGATGTTCATTGCAGAATGTTGGTCAGAGGTACTCACAGGGCTCTAATGGCAATATGGTGCCCTTTACTTTGAGATGCAATGAGTGTCAGCAGATCTACTGCTGTCACTTCACAGAATTATGGAATATGCCGAGTTGGAAGGGACCCATAAGGATCAAGTCCAACTCCTGGCCCTGCACAGGACCATCCTCAAGAGTTACACCTTATGCCTGAGGGTATTGTCCAAAAGCTTCTTGAACTCTGTCAGTCTTGGTGCTGTGACCACTTCCCTGGGGAGTCTGTTCTTGACAGACCTTGCAGGAAAATAAAGGCAACAAAAACCCTAGGCAGTGGGGAGGGAATTCCCAATTACAGAACCCAACATACAGGTCAAAAGCTATTGAGAATTTCCCCTCTGAGTTGCCAAACCTAAAAGACTAGTCTCCTTGTGAGAGAATGTCATAGGGAGTATAGGGAAATACACAACATGAAAATTATAAACAAAAGAATTAACCTTCCTAGACAGGAGATGACTTGACTGAAAAAAAGGGGGAAAAAAAAGAAGCAATTCTATGAGAATAGCCCTGAGAAGAAGAATACATCTTGGTCAGACTAATTAAAAAAAAAATAAAAGTTAGACCACCACTAATCTGCCAGAGATGAATGACCACTACTTCTTACCAAAGCTGAAACTTTCGACTGTATGTTGCTGAGATGTCATATGATTTTAAAAAAAAAAATCAAATTACCTGAAAGCAGCTTAAAGAACATTCTTCTTAGAGATAGATATGACCGGTCTGTGGCTGAGCAAAGCCTCTTGTGAAGGAAGCCCGAGCCCGTGGCAGCTTTGAGAGGAGCTTTTCGCTGCCATCTAATGGCAAACTGGGAGAAGAGAAAAATTAACACAGGTTTTCACCCTGCCGAAACGTTTTGGTTATAATTACAGCTCCATATAATTAAAGAAGAATTATTGATTATTAACTCCTTTTTTTTTTGCATTTTTTAATTAAAAAATGCACTTACTGGCTCATGTTGGAAGTTCCCAAGCCCTCACACAACTACAGATCTTGTGCTAGGGGTTTCCTGGCCTCTGCACTCTGTGGCATGGTGGCAATCTGACAATGAGATCCATGGGACACAGAAGTTCCTCTTTGGTCCTGGTCTGAATGAATCCTGAAAACAACTGCTCGGTAAGCATCTGCTTTCATGACTGAGACATAGTAACATGATGCACCTTCTAACTAGTACAACTAGAATAGTCACCCATATAGCTGGACTAGGAAATGAAGCAAGGTGTCCCTGTTTGGGGTTGTGCAATGATGAGATAAATCAGATGCATGTTCATGACATCCAAGTCACATTTGCTCTGTGGCTACTTAATTTCTGCTTTTGTAAGATGCCACTTTATCATCATACTTGAAAATATAAAAGACAGAGTGATTTTAGGCACATTCTTTACCTTGCCTGTCAATATGAAGGTACAATAAAATATATAATGCCTGATTAACCTTTCTTTACTAAGAGTAAGCTAACTTTGCTCTTAGCAATGTTAAATTAGATCATGGCTTTTATCCTACATGAGACAAATCAAACTTCAAGAGATCTGAAAAGAATGGGGCGTATGGAAAGCTAGGTTTGGAGTGGTTTTCGTTCAATTTTCAGTGTGGAGTTTTTTCCCCCATAGAGGACGTAACATGTCTGCTCGAGGATTCCCCACTGTTCTAGATATTAATTTCTGTTCTGACTTACTATGTGCCACTATGAATGCAAGAAAGTTACTCTTATCAACCTTTTTTTCCCCTCAGTAAGTATGTATTTTAAGACATATAGGGGGAAAGTGCTAAAAAGTTAGCATTTATATTCTCAATTGAAATTGGTCAGAATCATAACTGGGCACTGGAACATTCAAAATAAAGACATAAAGACAGTCACAGCTTCGATCCCAGTGAGGTTTCTAGAGAGGGGAAATAGCTTTGCCAATGACTTGCTCCATTACAAAATACCCCTGAGATAAAAACCTCCCATTCAAACATTTTATGACAAAGTTTATATAGGTGTAAAATTAATCCATCACTTATAATGTGCTCATTGCACAGCTGTTGTGCAGCAGTAGCTCCACAGATCACTTTTCAGATTTGCCAATAATCTTCCAAGGGATGATTGATCTGTCAACAGCATTTTAAAACAGAACTGTAAGGTGGAGGAGCTTCTTCATCTGCCAGAATTACCCCGGACCTTGTGCAGCCATTTACATCAGGGCAAGATGCTGTCAATCTGGCAGGGTTGCATTTTGTACCCATTCTGTTAGGATACAGAGATTTCCCCAAATGCTAAGCAATCAGAGCATTCAGAAGCACCAAGTTTCTGAACACTGAAGAGAAGGAATTACCATCAGTAATTGAGATGGGGAATGAAAGAGGGAGATGTAAAGGGAAGGAAAGAAAGAAAAGGGGAAACCCAGGCCACAGTGGGATCAGATTGTCATGGTGGCCAAACCCTTCAAACTGATCTGCGGTCGGGAAACTAGCATTTCCACCGTTTTCTGTTTTAGGCATGTGGGCGGAGCATGAGGGGCTGAAAACACAGGGGGAAAAAAATCCCTAGAAAACCGGAAAAAATGAAACGGGAAACAGCTCGGAAGCTTGACAGTGGGGCGGGAGAGCAGCAGTGGCTGGACAGGTCTCCTGGCCGAGGAGGGGGCAGAGGCTGGAGCGCAGGGGGCTCCTGGGGGGCCCCTCCCGTCCCGGGGCTGGGGAGGGAACAGCAGGGTACCCACCGCCCTCCGCCTTTCTGCCAACCCCCTCCGGCCTCCGCTCCCAAACCGGCGGGCACGGGGAGGAGAAGGGGAGAGGCACCGCCAAATATCTAAAGGAGTGCCGCCAAGAAGATGGAGCCGGGCTCCTCTCGGTGGTGCCAACCACTAGGACACGAGGCAATGGCAGAAACTGATGCACAGGAAGTTCCACCTGAACATGAGGAAGAACTGCTTGAGTGGGCAGGTGACCGCGCACTGAACAGGTTGCTCAGGAGGCTGTGAGGTCTCCCTCACTGGAGATATTCAGGAACCCTGTGATCACAATCCCGCGCCATGTGCTTTAGGATGGTCCTGCTTGAGCAGGGGGGTAGGACCAGATGACCCACTGTGGTCGCTTCCAACGTGACCCACCCTGTGATTCTGTGAGAGGTACCTCCACTCCCAAACCGATGGGCACAAGGGCGGATAAGTGAGCGGCCCCGGCGCCGCCCGCCCTCCCTGTCCCACCCCGGGTCCGCCAGGCCCCGGCCCCGGTAGAGGGCGCCGAGCCCGGGCTGCGGCGGCTCCGCCTCCGGCCGGCGAGCGGCGGCGCGGGGACGGCAGCGGCGGCGGGGCCTGAGGCGCCCGTGGGATCCAGGTAAGGCCCGCGGCCGCCGGGCCGCCCCTCGGCAGGGCCGGGGCGGGCGCGCCGCGGCTCCGGGGTGGCGGGGCCGGGCACTGCGGGGCAGGCGCGGCCACCCCGGCGGCGGTCAGGCCTGCGCGGCCCAGTCCGCCCGGGGCAGAGGCCAGGGAAGGCGGAGCTGCCCGGGCTCGGGCCCCGAGCGCCCCGACGGCGGGTCAGGGGCCGGCCCGGCTAGGGGGTGGTGGGTGAGGCTGTGCCTGCCCGAGGGCTCTAACGAGGGAGAGAGGGCGCCCTTCCTTCGGGACGGGCTCACGGCCCTCCTAGCCCGCTTGTACCCGCTTGCCAGCGGGGAACAAACTAAGGTCGAGCGCTAAAATAAGCCATAATAATTGTTTACACGTTCAAATAACTGCTCTAGGAATTTGCCTGCTAATTAAGGAGAGGCGAATGTCTTCTGCGAGGATCGTACCATCCTACAATTTAAACTATATGTCATACATTGAAATGCCAAAAAAAAAAAAAGAGAGAAATGAGATGTGGTTATTTTTATTTGACCAGTAATTGCCCTCATTGATCAGGGCCTTTTCCGCAACCACAAAAACCGCCTCATTTCAGATTTGAGCAGAGGTCATTTGGGTGTGGGGAAAGCGCCAGTCTCATGAAGAAACACGTATTTCCATGGAAATAAGACTATAATAAAAGCCAGCACAGCACCCTTACCCAGTAAGGACTGTAAATCGTTTTCTCACAGCGTTGAAAGACATCTGGGGTTTTGGGGGTTGTTTCCACCTACTTGTCCCAGGTTAGGAATGGCTCCAGAGGGGAGCAGCGCCGGGGAGCTTGCACGTCTGTCCTGTTGCGGTACACAGAGCTGCGTTATTTCTCCCAAACCCTACCGTGGTGCCAGTTACCATTTGGAGAAACAGGGGACATTGTGCAGCATTCTGCCACATAGCAGTGTTGTGGCCCAAGCAGAAACTGAAGTTAAGCAGCTTTCGGCTTTTCTGGGTTTGCTTACTTGCAGTGTTCAGGAACTTGAGAATGACTCATGGTAGATATAGATCTCCCTGTGCTTTTTATGACATGGTTAACTTAATTTCTGCTTGTTTTGTGAATTGTATTTCGGATGTAGGGAGGATAGTGCCACCAATGTGTTTGGACATTTAATATTGAACACCAGAAAAGGAGTTATGAATGGAGTATTCCACTGGGGTTTTTTGTGTTTGTTTCTCATCTGGTGTTTTAGCTCTTTGTAATGGCGAACAGTTTATGAAAAAGGCACATCATAAAGCCATCTAAAGCCCTGTGCTTTTAGGTGATGCACTGCTGTACAGGGAACTAGATAATCATCTTTTTGTAGTACCTATTATTCCATATGTGGGGAAATCCTTCCAATAGTCAAAGCAGTTGCTCATTTTTACATATGAATGTTTGATTTATCTTAGGGTATGCTATGACTGGCTTCAGATTCCCCATCACTGCTTTTAGAAAACTAAATTTCTGGTTCGGACTATGGGAGAAGTTTCCCTCGAATAAACTGTATCCCACTTGGAGGAGAAGCATATTATGTAGCTGTCAAGCAAGCACAGTAAACTACAGAAGATGTTTCAGTTTTTCCCCAGTCAAACTCAGTGCACTAAGACTTTCTCCAGAGTATATCTCAGTACTTTCTCTGCGGAACAAAAGTAACAAAAGCTCTAGAAGGAGCAGACAAACTGTTCAAGAAGAAGAGGAAGAAGAGGATGAAGATGAAAGTGATTTGGAAGATGAATTTGAAAATGACCCCAACATAGTAAAAGATTACAAGGATCTCGAAAAAGTAGTGCAGTCTCTTCGATATGATGTGATCATAAAAGCTGGCCTAGACATGGCAAGAAAGTAAGTACAGAAGAAACAACTTGCTGATGAGAAAGATGTCATGCATCTTAAATTGGACTTTTGATAACCTTTTACTGCTGGAATAACCCAGTATTTGGATTTTCTTTTGGTGTAGCTGTTTTAATTGTCTAAATATATGTTTACAGGGTATGGCTGTTCCTGTTTGTTTCACCTTACCTCCCTTGAAACAGCCTGACTTTGCTTTTCCCTGTCTGCAGTATTTCTAAGATTGCTGAGGAGGCATTTTCTATCAGTTACTGTTTTTTTAAAATGAAGAAAACGCAAAATACTGTACTGAGTAATACAAAAAGATCTAATTTGAGATTGAGGGAGTAAAATAATGCACTGCTTAATGGCTGGAGAAATAGGTGATGGTAAATACAAACCTAATGTACCAGGTCCAACAGGTAAATGTGCAGTCAATAAATGTATCACGTTTGATCTAATGCAACCTTATATATAAGCCTTATATTTCAATGTTGTTAGAACAGAATATTAGTATAACTTGATCACTTAAAAATTATTAAACTGGCTGATGCAGGAAAGGGTACATTATTCATTGGGTATTCAGGAGACACCTTTAGAAACAGCTTTTCTGGCACAGAGCAACTATGTGCTATTATTTCATTTAATATCTGTGAAAGACTTTTTCTTCCAGTTCAGGTCTGTCCTGACCTTATAAATAAAGGTGTCCTTTATGCATAAATTAGAGTTGTGGAAATGTGCCTTGCATGTGAACGTTGGTGGTGTGTATCTGCAGAAAAGCAATTGCATTTTATTTGCTGCATGCTGTAACTGCAATAATACCTTGTTTTTCTTCAGTAAAGTAGAAGATGCATTCTACAATAATGAACTCAGGCTGAATGGAGAAAAACTATGGAAGAAAAGTAGAACTGTAAGACTTTTTAAAATTTAAATCCTTTTAATACAGTACAAGAAAATAGTTAAGGCATTACCTTCTCCCTCTAAATCACTCTGCAAATGTGAATGCATAGCATTGCTAACACCGAGGGGTGTTTGTGGCTATGATTCCCCTGGTAAAACCTTATTCCCTAAGGCAGACAGGAGACTTGTGTTGTTGGAGATTCAAATTTAAGGCTGAAAGTCAGGAGAAGGCAGCAAGGACAGAACATTTTAAGTTGCTGAAAGAAGTGATGGTATATACACAAGCTTGATGGAGTAGGAATGATTAAATCTGAGATATTGGTGAAACAGGCACATGATTAAAGAAAAAGAGAAAGTTTGATGATAGAAAGGGTTTGAAAGTGAGGTAACTCAAGGAAGGTTATTGCATCTGTAACAGAGCACTCAGGACCACGGTTAGGGGAAGAGCCAGAAGGGTTGCAGGCCATAAGCTTTTGACAGCAGAGCTCACCAGAATGGTGACAAACATACTTCTACCCACCCTTTCTTTATGTGAGGGTGATCCTTGGTGGTAGTTACTGTCATCAAAGGGCAGTATGATGAGAAGTTTTCACTCCTGATCCCATAAAGTTGAGGCTAGTTTTTGAGAGGTGTGCTGCTCCTGTGACCTTTGAGAGGAGCACAAGCAGTTGGTGAGCACTCTGTTCTTTAAAACACTTTAAATTGTTTTAAAGACAGGAGTGAGAACTTTGCATTTTGCTGTTTTGTGTCTGTGTTGATAGAGAAAGATTGGTGGGAAGCACCCTTAAGGAAAAAAACCCCCATACATTACACCTTTTTCACAGATTAGGTGTTGGTTGTGTAATAGGAAAGGTGAAACTTTTGGCAGGGAAGGTCATGGGCCATTTAATTGCTTATTGCCGTAGCTTTCCTAGAAATTTATAGCTGGAGGATCTATCAGGGTCTAGCATTGGCTGCCTTCCTCCTCTCCTCTGTGATAAGAATATTGAATGGAAAAAAAGGAACAAAAATGAAATTGGATATAGATTGTGGGGATTTGTTTTCCCCAGAGAATGTTTATAATCACTCATCTTCTCTTTCTGTTTCCAGGTGAAAGTTGGTGACACACTGGATCTCATAGTAGGCGAAGATAAAGAAACAGGAACTGCCGTAGTTATGCGAGTAGTCTTAAAAAAATTATGGGACAAAACTGAAAGTGAAAAATACAAAGTAATTTTGAGGCGTTGGAAAAACTTAAAAGTGCCCAAACAGGATGTACTTAAGTAACAGGGGGTTGCATGTGGTAGCATAAGATTTTTGCAGAAAACCGTATTTTTTGTTAAATATGAATTTTGGTTAAACAAAATTGCAGTACCCTTTTTTAAGGGCTTGTGTCAGAATGTTATCTCCCTCTGCTGCATACATCAATAATCATGCAATAAACCTGTCACTTTTTGCTGGTAAAAGATCCAACACTTGTATTTCCGGGCAGTTTCTTACAAATAATGAACCAATAAAGACTAATTTGATCACTGTTTAACTGCTGTCTAATTTTGTTAATCAGAAAGGGTACATTAAAGTTGACATCACAACAAGCAGAATGTCTTTCTTTGTTTTATCTCTATATTCATGAAGTAGTTAGGGCTAAAAACCCCAATTATGTTAAATTGTTTCCTTTTTCATTATTAGTCTAATCTTGGTTAATAATACCAACTCCACTGCTGCTATACCAAGAATACAGAAGGATACTGATTCCAGTGGCTTATTTCTAAGCAGGAAACTTCATGATGACAGAGAATCATAGAATCAGAATATTTTAGGTTAGAAGATACAAGATCATAGAGTCCAACCATTAACCCAGCACTGTCAAGTCCACCACTAAATCATGTCCCTAAGTGCCAGATCTACATGTCATTTAAGTACCTCCAGGGATGGTGACTCCACCACTTCCCTGGACAGCCTGTTCCAATGCTTGACAACCCTTTAGGTGAAGAAATCTTTCTGAATGTCCAATCTAAAACTCCCCTGGTGCAACTTGGGGCTGTTTCCTCTTGTCCAATTCCTTGTTACCTGGGAGGTGAGACTAACTCCCAGCTTCCTACAACCTCCTTTCTAAGCCTCCGTTTCTCCAGGCTAAACAATCCCAGCTCCCTCAGTTGGTCCTCGTAAGTCTTGTTTTCCAGACCTTTCACCAGCTCCATTGCCCTCCAGCACCTCAGTGTCTTTCTTGTAGTGAGGGGCCCAAAGCTGAATACAAGATCTGAGGTGCAGCCTCACCAGTGCCAAGTAGAGGGGGACAATCACTGCCCTTGTCCTGCTGGCCACACTACTCAGTACAGGCCAGGAAGCCATTGGTTTTCTTGGCCACCTGGGCACACTGCTGGCTCATGTTCAGCTGCTGTTGA